AAAAATTATTAATAAAAAAAATATTTTTGATATATATATATATATATATATATATATATATAAATTAATAGCTTATAAATATTAATTTGAATATATTTGCCATTATTTTGACTCCACTATTGGAACCAACAATGGATCTTTGTACTCTGTTTGGCTCCTTCAAATGATGGATTATATATGCGAGTTTCTTCCAAAGATATTGATTATCAATATATTTATTTGAAGCTACATATCCCCTCACAACTTCACCCCATATTATAATTTTCTAATTCTCTTTATAGTAGATAAGTTCAAAGCATGGATGCAAATAAATAATTCAATCTACCATATTTGCAATTCATCAAATCTAAGAATTACATGCCAACAACTCGATTTTAGATAAGCCTAGCCCTTCCTGATTTTGCTACCTTTTTTGTGAGATTGGACTCAATTTGTACATGAAAGATGCCTCTAATCCTCATTGACTCCATCGTGCTCAAGGTACGTTGCCTACGCTTCTTTGAATGAAGCTCTGTTATTCCTTGCAAGCTCTTGCTAAACTTAGTATGTACAACTATGAAAGACTCTAAAGATGATACAAGAATTACATGCTTCTTCACATGCATGCTCATGTTCTTTACTCAAGTTTTCTAAGATTGTAAACTTATGATAACAAACTCACATAACTTAGAAACTTTCTTACGCAATGTCTTTCATCAAAATTACAAATTGACATCAAAAGCACCACATCCAACTAAACATTCATGACTTCTCTCCACATATTTGCCTTCATGTGTAGAGCACATTTTTGTCAAATATGATACATGTGATATGCTAATAACCGACATCCTTGGAAGAAACTCATATACACAGTTCAATGTTCAGAAGCTTTGGAACATGGGATAGGGGATGCAGGCTAGGGATGGGAATGGGAGACAAGTTTGGAAATGAGAACAGAGGATATGGGATTGGTATAAGAAATGGAGACCCATTGCTGGTTATCATGGTGGGATTGAAATAACAGCAGGTGGGGTTGATTTAATATTTTCCTAAAATTATTTTATTATCTTGCATGAATTTAGAATATAAGATACTCAAAAACTTAACAGTACATTAGTTTTTGTATGTTTGATGTACTACTTTTTACATTTTTAATATGAAAAAGTACAAAGAATAACATTAAAGAAACAGATATTATAAAAATATTATTGCAATTACATAAAAACACTTAAAGAAAATACTAAAACATGTTAATATTATTAGGTTAAAATGATTGCATTTGAACATATTGTAGATGACTGCAATGTGAACATACATAAAATATTATCATTTAGATGAATTTTTAAATCAGATTTATAGACTTCTAAATTTAAAAAAGTATGAATGAAAATAAACAAGTTTGTTAGATTTTTTTTATATTTCGTAAAAGATTTAACAAATGTGTTCTGCAAAAGAAATACAATTAGTTACTATTTTGTACATTTTTGACATTCCAACATATGTAAGTGTGTGTGCATGTATACATACACACACACTTACTGTGCCTAAATACTGAACTTTAAAATGATTAGTATATTCCATTATATATACTTGTTTTAAAATTTGTATATAATGCAATTTTTTGAAGTTGTTCAATAAATATACACCTTTTATTTGATTTATTTCAAAAATTTCAAAATCGAATCTATTTCATAATCAATTTAAATTTTAATGAAAAGAAAAACCATTACTAAGTTATATACATTGAATATCATTTTTCACTTAGTGCACACAGATAATTGTCCTGTATCAAAATGATTGTAAAATAATACAGTTTAATATAGTGGGTGAGCATACTGAATTCACATAAATTTATTCCATTAATTTTAACTTATGCAACATAACATATGCCCATGTGTAACAAAAATAAACTTAATTTTTGTATAGATGTGATGTTACATATTGAGCTATGTATGTCAATACTAAAACAAGATATATTGTAAAATTGATGAAACACATCTTACCTTGAAGGTGGGTTTACCAATACCGTGTCATATACATATTTACTTTACCAATACCATGTCATATACAATTTTATATAAACACAATTAGATACAATTAAATCTTTGTCTTAAGCAAAGTTTTTGAGGTTATACAATGCACAAAAAGCTTCCTACCCAATTGGCCAATTGTATCCCCAACCATGCAACCATCCCTCAAAAAACCATGAGTTTTAGGGTTTTAGGGTTTTAGGGTTTATTACTCTCTTTTTGTTTCCCTTCTTCTTATGATCGTTGGTTTTGGGGTTTGTCGTATTTGGTTGCGAATTGGAAGCGCACAGAGAGTGGATACGGTGAAACCTGTTGAGGTATAGTGCAGACAAACCAAACAAAGACCAGTTTATTAATGAAGAAGTTGAACTGGATCTGAAACCGTATGAGAGGAATTCAGCTGCGACTCTGCAACCCTCTCGTGTGCACATGAAACAAATAAATGCAGGTGCAGCTTCTGTTCACTATTGTGTCATTCTGCCGTGTGCAAAACCCATGCGAAATCCGACCCCATTGTGCATCATTGTCGTCATAACTAGGGCTGATGAAACTACAACGATGTGGCCCCACAGGAAGGGCGATAAATATCTGTTCCTGAACAACTCTCTATGCCATGTGAGCAGCCGATGGAGTGAAATGCTATCAAGGTCGACGTGCAGGAGAGTACGATTGGAACTCAACTTGCAGACCATCATGGGAGTAAACTGAAGACTGAAATGTTCAAATTCAAGCTTGGTGAGCTCATTCATCAGAACATGTCCAAAACAATACGAAAAGGGCAGCCTTGGTTCATGGTTCAACAAGCAGAATTAGCGGTAGTGTATTAAACCCAAGTGTCTGACGTCCCGCAATCGTATAGTCATGTCACTGGCGAGCAAGTGAGAGAGAGAAAGACTAACCAATGAATATATCCTGGTCCTCACGACTCATGAATCATGATGTTTACCAGCCATTCAGCGTGGCAATAGAACGTCTTCCCTTTCCGTTGCATTTACTGGTCTGACATAGATCGTTGGTCATTGTTACTCTCACTGATCAACATGTATCTCACCACAGGCTACACATGTTTCGTACCTTTGTGAAGATTATAATTTTGATGCGGTTTGTGAAGCATTGCAGTGGAGTTTTTTTTACAGCTGGTCAGTGACGTTGTAGATTGTTCAGGTGTACAATAGTAGCTGGACAGGTGGGTGACAAACATGAAGTTGAGAGGAGGAGTTACATGAGATAATCCGCATTGACTTGCAATTGTCTGTACCACCGCAACTTCCAGGATACGACAATGAAGGAAAGGTAGCAAGGAAGGAGACAACAGTGCCAGTGGCCAAGACCTGCACCGGAACCTTCACGACAGTTTTGGATTGTGAAAACAGGGGGAACTCTAGTGCCGCATCTCTCTCATCATGGTGTGTTCATGCATGATGTGCCTCATCCCATTCCACGCACACATCACGCACGACAGATTTTCTCTGATCTGTACCCTTCGACGATGAATTCGTAGGGGACAGACTTCAGAACTATCCCTGCAGTTCCAGAAGGTACTGTGCTAACAACCACTGTGTGGGGGAGGATCATTCTTCCGCATCTGACACCGATTATCTGTTTTATTATGGAACAGAGCTCCTAGACAATCGGTATATATGCCTCCGATTTCTAGACATGATTGGGGTTAGAACCCACGGGGAGTTTCCTGAGAGACCCACGCGTTGATTATTGACCAGCCTATCCGTTCAAAAGTATAGTTTATTGGTTTACATTCCCTAGAAAGAGGTGACACGAGCGCCTAAATTGTTTTAAAAAGCAGTTGTTGCGACGCCAAAGTCGTCGAGCTACTATATCTGTACTTGAATCATGCCAAAAGAATCACGTTGGTTTTTGGGGAAATTATGTACTGTGCCCCACAAGCCATCCTCCGTAACCCCAAGTGAGTGCTTTCCTCTAGTAATGGGCTTACAAGATGCTTCAAATGTTGGGATTTGTCATTGATCGGTTTGAACGCTGTTATCCATTTACGCGCTGCGATCCGGTGGCCTCGAAGTGTGCGGGCAGTCGACACTTCAGTTGTGTTCTAATTTTCTTCAAGATTGGGGATCAAACGGCTGCTTGAGGGGCAATAAGAAAACGATTCATTAGGTGGTATATATGCATACGTATATATATTTAGTTTCATTTGGTTGTGAATGAATGGAAGTACATCTCGATGGGCTTGTAGAAGCACTTGTGATAAGCATTTGTGAACAGGTTCGGAGGAATGGAAGGGTTGCAGGGGGCGGAAAGTGTTTACTTTGCGAGGATGTGCGTTGACATGAGGTGCTTAGAAAGAAACTTGGGGGAGACACATGAGTGACAAGATGTTGTAGGCGCTGGAAGAATAGTTTTTCAAAGGCACAAGGTACATTTGTGTCTCCTGCCCTCTTCTTCAATGTGACATCTTCGCAATAAAAACAAAACAATATAAAACAAGACTCTGAGCTCTGAGCTCTACCATGCTGAAGAGGATTAAATACTTTTCCCTCTGATGAAGAGTGTTGAGAACTGCATGTGTAAGCACAATGGCAAAAACTTGCTTGCAGTACTCATGTCACCAACGATGAGCAAGGCGATCAACGATATGATACTGCTTGATCAACCATTCGGTTCCTACACGATTCCCTCCCCCACACCCTCTGCAGTGAACTGGGTCAACAATGCTTTGCTGGGATAGTCTCCACTGACATCGAAAGAATTGCGTGGTTCGTGTCTTATAAGAACTGTAATCTTACAATCGGTATTGTGTATTGTGCAACTTTTTCATGCAGATATTTACGGTGAGGTGCGGTACCATGAGGTTTCAGTTACAAGTGATCACCGGTCCTGACCTGGAGCTGGACCGAAGAATCATTCCTTGAAGGAGGAGCGATTGTTGGTCTTCAAAGAGTTCAGAATTGGAGGGGTTCCATCCTCAACTTGAAGTAGTACCGGTGCCTTACAGATAGCACTAATTGCCCCCCTTCTAGTTCTCGCCATTGGGTTGATCTGCCGGGCTTATGGACGCCGCAAGTTTAAGGTTAGACGTGCACAGAAACATGAGTCCTCTAGGAATAAGCCAATGGACATCGCCGGCGAATGCAGTAGAAAAGGTAGAAGAGATGTTGAGCAAAGCTATAAACTACCAGAAAGATCTTTGGGACATACTTGTAGTCCAATCGACCGAGAGTGATCCTACCAGGGAGATGAGGCAAGGAGATTTGATCCCTCCTCAACTCTTAAAATCCTTGAAGTCGAAGCTAGAGAACTCTATGGATTCGTGTAATTCAGCTCTCAATCGGCTAAAAGACATCATGGTCCAAACTACTTCTCTCCCATCACTTGCATCACCAGAGAATCTTGAATTGCAGAAGGAGTGGAATACGTACGTCGGAAGCTTCTTTCTAAACGAGCTCTCGCAGCTGTCATCTGGACCTCAAACCTGTAAGAGTGATCATTTTGCCATTAATTCTCCGGCTGCTTTAGCTGCCGCTGTTGCTAAAAAAACCGTTACCACCTTCTCAGACTTTTTCTGTGTCATGATCTTTGCCGAGTAAGTTCTACATTATCCCAAATCGATATTCTCTGCAGGTGACGATGAGGAGCTGCATGAACAGTCCATGAGCTTGTTAGTTTCTGAGGTAGAAACTCAACAAAACCAAGGAGTTTCGAGCTTACCAAGCTTAGAGTTAGTTTCAGACTGGAACATGCTGTCAGAAGCTCCGGTATCGGATCTGCCACCATCTCCTGGAGTTGCACTGATGGATCAAGGTCGGCAGAGCCCATCAACTTGCCATTTGCATATACCAGAGGCCTCATGTAATGACAGCATTGCTAGTACAGATGTGCAAGACCTTGCAGACAACCCAAACGACCGAAGATTGATGACAAAGCTCAATAGTCGCGGACTTCGGCCGAGATGTGGGCCAAAACGAGACAGGTGCCCACAGTTCCTCGTCTACATCCCGCATTACTTGTAATTGGGACTTAGCCATGAACTTTGGCCTTTCAATGCTACTGTTGTGAGGTTCACCGTAGGTTAAGCTAGCTTCACAACTTCGCAGTTGTGAACTAATTGTGGTGCGTGGCTTCTCGAGCAAGGTATTTCAGAGAGCAGACAGAAGAGAGGGGCGCCACCATGTCCGTTGTCTTCCAAGAGCTGAAGCCTGGAGATGACATGAAAAAGGGGATACCTGACGACGGCCATCGATGCTGGAAGAAATACGGCAACAAAGCAATCCAGAATTCAACCTTCTGCAGGTACGAGGAAGCATGCACAACATTGGATTTTCTAGGGCTGACAGTTTGATCTCCCCTTCGAGAAAGATGAAATTTCTCACTCTCAGTGCATGTGGCAATCAGAGGGTACTATAAGTGTAGTATGAAGGAATGCCGAGCAAAGAAGATGGTGCAACCCACAGACACAAACCCCAGCATCTTCGAGGTCACCTACCTCGGGAAACACACATGTTCCAGCACCTCTCGAAGAAGAATTCGATCTAGACCAACTCCTGCCCATGCTCCAAAACCACAAGCAAACATCACCGAAACAAGGGTTGCAAGCCAATGCACGTCGACCCAAAACCCTAAATCCCAACACCCTCCCCACAAAACAAAACCTTCTGGAAACGACGAACAGAACACCACAACTGTCCAGAGAAAGAATACCCAACTGCCAAAACCCCGACAAACGACCTCAACAATGAGATCAACAATCGGAGATCTCCGGGAGGGTGCAAATTCACAAAGAGAAGACAACAACTGGCCATCTGCAGGGCAACAAGAAGCAATTGAAAACGAAGGTAACATGGGAATGGATTCCGAGGGGACGAATTGCTCTCGTGAGGATGATGAAGATGATGAGCAAGAAGCCAGATTCCATTATCAAAGCTTGCGGCACCACCATCACCACCCTCATCATCATCATCATCCTCAGTCCGGGTTCTCATTCCATACCGACACATTGCTGTGGTCGGAGATTCTGAACAGCAACCATCGGGAGGTTTGGAGCTCTGGAAACCTGCAGGTGGAGATTTAGAAGCTCCTTCTTCCATCCATCCGCCATAGACATGCCCCATCTTTGTTTCTAGATCGCTTCTAGTTCTTTTAGCACTATTGTTTCTTTTTGGATCCAACAGTAGTAGACACAGATGATGTTTCCCTTCTCTTCTGCCCATCTTTGGAATTTGTTGTTGTTGTTGTTGTTGCAGTTTCGGTTTGTGTGATGTAGAAGCTACTTTGTTCGGCGATTCTCGCACTGCTCAAATTGTGGGTCAGGCTGCATTCGATTGTGTGCTTTTGTTCAATCGCCAACACGCTCTTGCCTCTTTGCTGATGTTGCCACTGGGTTTTGTTTTTGTCTTTTGCTCATGTTTGTTGCAAAGGTTCTTCTGATTCACTACTTTCTTCTTCTTCTTCTTCTTCTCCTTCTTTTCTTTTCTTTTTTTTTCTGATGCGTGCTCATTTGGAAATTTGTGGGTGAAAATAATTCAAACATGTGTGAGATTGGAGTTTGTTTGTTCTTGTAGAAGCATAGGATTGTAGTAGGTTTTAGAGGAATGTTTGGGTTAGACTCTTAAGGTATCGAAACAAAGAATAATTATTAATTGTTACTACAATTTTGATTCGAGGGTGGCAACAAATACAATCACATAGATATATTTAAGAAAAGTTAGTAAATTTTAATACACTTTTTAATAGAAAATATTCTTTAAATAAAATTATTTGTAACAAAAATATTTTATATTTTTTTCTGTTTTGGATGTTAATTTATTATTAATTTTAAAAAGCAGACTTTAGCCTACTTACCTTAGTACAAGACCAATAAAATACCATATTATATATAAAAAAAATTAAATATAATTAACAAATTATTTTACAAAAAAATATATATATATATATATATATATATATACATATTTTTGTACTAAGAGATGTTTAGTATAGTAAAACCGTAGATAAAAACATAATCTCAAAATGTTAAATTTTCTATACCACGTTTAATGTGTGTTGTAATTAATAAAAAAAATTCAATAGGAAATATATCAAAAATCATGTTACTCATGCAAAATTGTGAGTAAATAAGGTCATTGGTTTTAGTTTATCTTGATGTCTTTATTATGCATAAGATAAGATGACTACAATCTTCAATTATATTATTAGATAATATTTTTTTAGCAATTTTTTACATAGATTTTTAAATTTTTGTAAAAACCACATGTTGATGTAGACCTATTGCTTCATCTAAAGAACAAAATTGATTATGCTAAGTAGGAAAAAAATGCATTCTACCTTATTTTTGCATTTTAGGATTCACTTGATCTTCTTACATGTTAAGTCAACTAAATAAGACTTCTTGAGTTTAATCAATCAAAGGACTTAAAAGTTGTGTTCTTTCATCTTTTCTTCTAATTTTAAAGACTTCTCAAGACCTTTTGTAAATTTATGATATATATAAAAAAAGAAGAAATATTATATTATTTCTTTAAAATTATAACTAATTAGAAGAGCTTTAATTCTAGTATGCTATAAGCTTTTTTATTTTTATTTCTAAATGAGTACTTTTAAAACAAATTCTATAATCTTAATGTTCTAGAATGTTTCTTCCAAAATTTTATAATATTTATTATTTCTTTAAATAATAAAAGATTAGGTATATTATTAGTTTATAATTACTAAAACTTTATGAGTCTTGGATAATATTTTATTATTTTATTTGAAATTAAAAGACCTTAGTTTTTATTTTAGAACAAAACTATACTTATGCCAAAAAATAAAAAAATAAAAAAAATCGTTGATTTGTATCTCTATAAAAACCTTTAATAATAATTTTTTTTATAAGTCTATTTATCACTAATTTATGTATTTACATTAACATTTATCAATAATACATTTTTTATGAGTTAATTTATTGCTAGACCAAATCAAATCCATTGTGGCAATTTAGGTGATGATTTGATAATTACACGATAGTGGTAATTTTAAAGTGTAAAACATAAATACACCAATGAAAAGGTGATTAAAGTGGTTCAAGATGACCCTAAACTTTGGTCCAAGATTACTCTAAACTACCAGATAATGGCATAAGGTACCCAAAGCAAATGCAGTGGTTATGGGTTCGATCCCTTGCAGTAAAATCTTCTTCACACCTAATGGAACCTATGCCTCAAGTGGTCAACCCCCTTGATGTTCCAAAAAATAAAAAATAAATAAAAAAAGAAGAAGATTAAAGTTACATTGTAAGATATGCATTTATGGTTTGAGATAAAATAAATTTATAAGATATGAGGTGCTGCTGAATTGTTTCAAAATCAATGACCAAAAGAGAAAAAGAGAAAAACCAAAAAGAAGTGATTTAATATGACAAAAATAAGATTTTCACAAAGTGAAACTACACTTTTAATGTGCATTGCTGAAGGGTGAATTATGCTTTGACCATATATATGATCAACACCATTTTATTTGAGAAATAGCACAAGATATCTTAACAGAAATCAAGCATGACACATATGGTGACTAAAGTTTGAAAAGAAAATAGTAATAATAAAAAAAATAAACCTAAAACAACAACACTAAATTTGGAAAAAAATATTCTTCGAAAGTTATGAGTAAAGTACCAACATCTAATTTAAACAAGTACAGTGTCAAATCAAGTAAGAATACTGTTTTTTTTTTTTTATTTTATTTATTTGTGAATAATAAGTTTACAAACCTACAACAACAATAACAAAATGAATGATAAGCAACAAAACATGAAACACACACAAACACGAAATCCAGTTTAAAAAAAAAAGCAAGGATGAGAATGACTATCCCTACAAGAATACAGCAGATATATTTTTTTTTTCTGATACGGGGAGAACTGAATTCATCATCTTGATACCATAATAAAGAACACCTTGACAATGGTGATATCAGAGCTTGGCAAACAATATTGAATTCCACCCAGAAATGGAAAAAGAAGGCAGAGGTCCAGCAACAAACAAAAGCCTTGAGAGTTTGGAGGCAGGGAGTGAGTGAGGGAGCGGCATTGCAGAGCGGAGGAGCCACCTCCTCCTTTCTCCGGGAGAGAGATTGAGAGATCGGGGTTCATCTGATTTGCATTTCTATGGCTCTCTGATCCATGATTCTGCATTCTGTCTCAGCTGCTTGTCTTGTTGGAATTGTTGCTATCAACCCTCATTGCTTTTGCCATCTTGAATCCACAAAACTTGTAGCTGGGCTAGTTGCCGATTCACGCCGTTGGTTGCAACGAAGTGTCTGAGTTGCGAGGGGTTCATGGACGTCAGACGAGTGTTGTGTCCGTTCTGTAGGGCTCGAGGCAACCCTAGTGGCATTTGCCGAACTGGGTACTACTCAGACTATGTAAGTAAGATGTAGCCGACAATGTTTCTTGTGGGGTCCATTTATTTCATGTGACTTGTGTTGTTGGATGATGGATCAGGGCATCCTTCGCAATTACGGCGAAGCGAGATGGATATTTTTGCTTTTTAAGGGTGTATGTTTTTGTTTTTTGGAGTTAAAGTGCTTACAGTGTTTGTGTGGCCGCAGAAATTTTGGTAATTTGGATGGTAAGGGATGTGATGATTTTGGAGAGAGACTGCACATGGTGAAAAGTGGTGTGATTTTGGGGAGGCGGAGACGGGGGGTAGGAATGACAGAAGGTGTGAGGATTAGGGAGGGGCAGTGAGAGACACGATCGGAACTGAGGAAGTCCGAAGGACATCTACGTTGCATTGAGCACTGTGTCATCGGGAAACTTGGATTCAGCTGAGGTAGCAGGACGCATTTTCGTATGTGAAACCTTCTATTGGTATTTGTTTAGGCAGGGCTTTTGTTCTGCAGATACCTAAATAAGCGATGGGTAAGAAAGGGCAAAGCTTGAAGGTGAAAGTTCATCGGCACAAGGTATTTCTCTTTTCGCGGTCTCGCTCTGTACAATTTTGTTCTCCATTGAGGAGTCTTCATTTCTGTGTCTTGGAACCTTCTGACCGAGAGGCACTTCCCCATTTCATACACTCGTCTAGTAGGCCATTTGATGAAGCATGCCACGTATTATTTTGTTCTGCATGCGTAGCATTTCTATCTCTTACTTTGTGTATTTTCCAGCTCCGAATAGTGTTGATTTACGGGCTAGAGAAGTATGTCTAATTTCCTCGAATTAGTGCTCACTCTACCAGCAGGTTCTTTTCGAATGAGCATAAAAGTAATAATAGTTTTTACTTTTATTACGTAGACAGAGAGCCATTATGGCGGTTTCAGTAATGCGAGCTGATCAGTAGTTGAATTTGTTGTTAGTTGTGCTTGGCTGGTGTCACCCTTGCTGGTTACAATGAAGCAAACTTACTGATTTTCTTTATTTTATTGTCTTGATTCTTGCGAGTAGGATAAGACGAAGGAGATTGCAAGTCTTAATCAACAATTAGGGTTATTGGATCTCAAAGTTGTTCTGGTTACAGCCGATGGCAATTGTTTTTTCAGGTATACTTGCATCTAGTTATTTTAAAAGCGTCTCATATTATGTGCCTTGAACTATATTAACATGGGCACACAATCAATGAAGGTATAAGAGGTTTAACGGGAAACCAAGCGCAGACTGTGTTTGCGAAGTTCATGGTTTGATGACTCTGAGCACGTTTGCAGAGCTGTTGCGGAACAACTAGAAGGGGATGAAGAGCAACATGCTAGGTACAGGCAAATGGTTGTGAACTACTTACAAGTACGAATTCTCAATTGCTTGGTTTTGCCATCTTCTTCAGATATTGTGATTTGTATCCATGCGCTTTAATTTTGCTTCATTCCAATTCTGCCGTCTAATACGTTTACGCATGTTAGTATCCAAATGATATCATTGACATGTGATCCATTGAGCTATTGTAAATCCTTTGTTATTATTACAACTGCTTATGTTTGTCTAAACATCGGGGTTAGTCTGAGTGGAACAAAGCTAACTCTGTAACCTTGGTGTTGTCAAATATGAAACAGGAGCATCGGGAAGAATTTGAGCCATTCGTGGAGGATGAAGTGCCCTTTGATGAGTACTTGAAGACTATGCGCGAAGAAACTACATGGGCAGGTCACATGGAGATACAAGCCACATCACTTGTTACCCGAACCAATATTTGTATTCATCAGGTACTTTACTCATTACGGGTGTATCTTCACACTTTCACTCGTTTTTTTGATGTTAATTCCGCCAGAATGCGTGCCCTCTATGTTTTGCAGTAGGTGATCTCACAGAACAGTACTTGTTGTTAAAAGTAACATTATTTGATAATGGGCTTGCAGTTGAAGACACCCAGGTGGCAAATCCGGAATTTCATTACTGCAGATACAACCACTATTCATCTGTATGTTTCGGTTCCACTTGTACGTTGATTTTTTCTTTTCTTGAAGAATTTCGTAACATTTACTGAAAGTGCAACTGGATGGCACCTTCCACATCCAAATTTTGTAAGTTGCTCAGTCCATCTACTAAGACGTTCTTACGAACGATTAAATTTGGAGCTATGCTAATTTAAGCGACTTCATTTATTTATCTATTTATGATTCCTAAATCGATTTTGGTTATAGATCATATCATGATGGTGAACACTACAATAGTGTGCGGAGACAAGACGATCCTGGAGTCGGTCCAGCTAAACCCTTCATTATTGAGGTGGGACTTCTTGCATATGATTATGGTTTCAAATTCAACATTCTGAAGAATACTAGGGAGTCTTGTTAGAGGTTAGCTGTCGTGCTAAGAGCTGAATTGGCTTGACCTTTTGATACTTGATTTGTATATGTGTAACACCGTACAATTTTATCAAGATCTTGCGTATCTAGCCAATGATTCATCTAGTTTTCTTTTTCTTACTTTTATTCTCTTTTGTTTGAAGAATGCTTATGATAAACGCTTTTCATGTTTGTAGGGTGATGCTACTCCTGCTTCTCAGCCACCACCAGTAAAAGATAATATTAAGGACAAGAGCAAGGTAGTGGAGGCAGCAACAATCAAAAGAATAATGGGAAGCAGTGGCTGCACAAACGAGAAGCGAGTACGAGAGGTAGGCGGGATAATCTCTGTGAACAAATATCTCAAATCACAGGTTTTCAAGTAGAACTGATGTGTCCTAGTTGCTGTATGGTTTTCTAGAGAAGTGAATCCTACACTAAGACTTGCACTTCTAATCATACCACTCTTCGGTGTACAAATATTTAAGGCCTTCCCATTTCGTCGATACTATTTGTGCAGATTTTACTCGACGTGCATGGCGATGCAGATACAGCTATAGAGTACTTAATTGCAGAAGCCGGCGGTGATGCCAGCTCCACCGGCTCAGATGAAAATGATCCTGGATCCTCTGCAGCTACTGGTGTGCGTCTGTGATTCATATGTTAGTTCTCAGTGTCCTGCAAAGGGTTCTTATCTTCACATTTACACAAACTTGCTGGTCAGTGTCAGAAATGGATCTCCGTAATCAATCGTCTAGTTTAGAATATGGACTAAAGTTTGTAGATGACTTGAATAGGTGATCAAAACAGAATATCCGTGTCAGATGATGCTGAATCGGCACGATCCTTGAGCTCTCATACTGCCAGTGAGAGTGGGAGGATTGGCAATGCGTCGTCCGTGTCTTCTCAGGTGTACTACTTTACCTCAATTCTTGTTATAGTCGACGCTTGATTGTGTGGGATACTGTATACTGTCTGACAATGCGATCTTTTACTAATTTGAGTATCATGCTATGGTAGAGTGTGGGCAGGAACAAACCATGTCCTTGTGGCTCAAAGAAAAAGTACAAGTCTTGCTGTGGCACTTCAAAAAATCGGACTACTCCAGCGTATATGTCCAGGTATGTCAACATTATCCCCGCCCCCCTCTTCAATTTTACATGTGGAATTTTGCAGACTTGCAACCAGTGAAGAGAACGGTCGTCCTTGAACCTTGAATGATTGTTACTGACGTTTTTGTTCTTGTGCCTCGTGTAAAGGGTGGAGGAGCCTCTTTCCAACAGGATGAGAAAACAAAAGGTGAAGATGACGAAAGGCCTTCACCACCCAAGTGATGAAGAGGTCCCACGTACTGCCGACACCCTTGATATGGGAGCCATTTGTTTATGACAAAACTTCCTTGCAATTTTGTTAGCTTATGAAATTATTCCAGAATTCCATCACATAGTTTTTGTTCACCTTCTGGAAAGAATTGCAGAACCCATTTGGATATTGTTTCTGAATTGGTCTAAATTTTATGTGTATGTGGGTTTCATCAAAATGGCTTGAGTGGTTAGATTACCTAGTTGCAATAGCTATGAAAATGGTTATGAATGTAAAAAATGTCATATGGTTTGAGATATTGAATAAATACAACAAGCAAGATATAAGTAGAAATTAGAAATGTTGCACACAATAGAGGTGTGGAATAAAAATACTTTTCACTTTTAACATCTTTTACTTATGGGAAGAATTTATATTTATTGTTGTTGAATTTCATCTATAATTTTCATTCATCTTTGTTTCATCCAATTAAACTTTAGATTTCTCTTAATCTAGTTGCTATTTAAAACTTTAGTTGTTACACTAGTAATTTACCTTCATTCTTTTATTATCTTTTGACCATTAATAATTTATCTAAGGTAATATTATTTTATTTTTATTTTAACACTTTTACTTTATTATTGGTCAAAGGTTTTTAAACTTAATGTCTTAGTCAACTTCTGATGTCTATCCTTTACTAATACTTTTGTTAGCAAATCAATAAGCATGTCTTTTGTTATATAATATTTTATATCAATCACTTCCATTTTAATCTTTTCTCTTATGAAGTGATGTTGAATGTCAATGTATTTAATTTTTAAATGATGCTTTGGATTCTTTGTAAAAGCATGACATCTTTGGTTATCACACTTCATTGAAATTGCTTCCAATTGCATAATTTCAATGTCTTCTAAAACTTGTCTTGGCCAATTTGCTTCCATTGTACTGTGACTTGTTGCCATATATTTTGTTTTCATTCTAGACCATGCAATTGTTGGTTTTTTCTTGTAATTCTATGAGATTGCTTTTACTCCAACAAAAAATACCTATATTATTATTGATCTTCTATCATTTGCATCTCTAGCCCAATTTGTATCATAATAACAATACAATGTAATATTATCTCTTCTAAGACACAATTTCAAATTCAAATTATCTTTCAAGTATCTCATAATCTTCTTGATAATTATCCAATAGATTGGTCCAACCTTTAATATGTATTGATTCACAACACTCACTGCATATGCAAGATCTATCTTTATGTCAATCATTACATATAAAAGTGAGCCTATTACTACCTTGTATAGAAAATCTTTCATTTCATCTTCTATTCTAGCAAATTCCTAATTTATAAGCTTTATCAACTTCAAAGTAGTATCTAAAAGTATTTTAATAGACATTCACTCTTCTATGTTAAATCATTTCAATACTTCTTCAATGAACCTATTTTGGCTCATTGTAATAGTTTTGTTATAACAATTTCTTACAAATTCAACTTCTAAATAATAATAGAGCTCTTTTAAATCACTCATCTTATACTCCTTCTTTAATTTTACCTTTAATCAATCTATCTTCTTCATGGTTTTACTCAATATGATTAAATCATCAATATAAGAGATAACAATCAATATGAAATCATTTGATTGCATCACAGATAAGGAATGATTAACTTCATTCCTTACAAATCCCTCATTTACAAAGAATGTGTCAATACATTGATACCATGGCCTTAGTGATTATTTTAGTTCATATAAAGATTTTTTTTTAACTTACAAACAAGGTGTTATTTTTCTTCTTCAACAAATCTTTGGAATTGATCCATATAGATGTCTTTTTCAACTTTCCATTCAAGAAAGCCATCTTTACATCTATTTGATGTATTTCAAAGTCCATTACTACATCAATTACCACAATGATTCTAATGGTGGTAAATTTGGCTAAAAGAGCAAATGTTTCATTGAAATCAACACCAGCAACTTATGAATAGCCTTTGGCAATTAATCTTGCTTTATATTTTAAAACTTTGTCCATTGCATTTCTTTTGGTTCTAAACACCCACTTACAACTAATTAAGGATCAATTTAGTAGAAATTGAGTCAATTCTTAAATTCTATTGTCCATGAGTGATTTGTACTCTTCTTTCAATGTTTTTTTTTTACTTCATAGCATCTGTGGACTTTATTGCATCATACAAATTCAATGGATTAAAAAAAATAAAAAATAAAAAAATGCAACATTGGCATGTTTTTTATTTACTTGAGGAAAGATGTAGTTCTTCCACCATTCACCATGTAGTCTTCTTTCTTTCAAAGGATATTTCCTTTCATTTAAAGAAGATTCATCTTTTTACACTCAATGCTCTATTCCAAGCTTCTTCTCCCTCAAAACTTATCTTTTTTTATTCAAAGGTTGATACTCTTCATCATCCTCATTATCATAATCTTCAATATCTTCATTGTTGATTCTAGAAATTTTAGAGGCCTTTTTCTTTATCTTCTTTATCTCTTCATCTTTATTCACATCTCTACCATCTTCATTTTAATCATCTTGTTCTTCTTTTTTTGTTGAATTTGAAGATATGTCCACAAACACACCATTACTTCTATTTGAATATATCTCCAAGTGCTTACAAGCACTCTTATGCTTTAAAAATTCTACATCATAATTTTTATGATCTTCTTGATATCCAAATACATTAGCCTATATGCGTTGGTACCTTCATAATATCCAACAAATATATATTTTTGTATCTTTTGCATCAAGTTTTGATCTCATATAATCTATTATTTTTGCATAAGCAATGTATCTAAAATTCTTCATATGTAAAACATATGGTTTCGTTACATTCCATATTTCTTATAGAGTCATTGATATGAATGCACTTGTAGGGTACTTATTTCTTGTATATGCCACATTTACCACGGCTTTTGTTAAACCTCATGCTCAAAGTATTGAGCATGTAATATATTCTTTATTATTTCTATAATGGTTCAATTTACTCTTTCAGCAACTCTGTTTTGTTGTGGAATGTAAGGGGTAGAGGTTTATCTTGCAATTCCTTGAATCTTTAAGAATTCATCAAAATGCTTTGATAAGTACTCATCTCTATTGTCCATGTACAACACCTTGATCTTGCACTCATATTATTTTTTCTACAAATGTATTAAAATCCTTAAACCTTAAAAAGTACTCATTTTTGGATTTGATGATTTTATTTTCTTCCAATTGATGGCATCTTCATTGATCTACAAACATCCGAATGCACAATCTCCAACAATTTGTTTGCAAGTATTGCAATTCTACTTGAAAATGAGGTCTTTTGTTGTTTGCTTTAGATATAACCTTTACAAGCAAGAAGCATAGAATTTTTACATGATTGGCTAAGATCAAAGCTACTTACTATGGATTAGAGTTCTTTCATGCCTTTAATATTCAAATGATGAAGGCATCAATGCCAAATATCAAATTTATGTTGATTATATGAAACTCAACAAATGTGGCCATTTCAATTCCTTTCACTTTTTTATACTCGATGAAATAAAGGTTGCCATCTCTAAAGCCTTTGGCAAATCATCTCTATCCAATATTTTTACAAAGTATTCATTCTTATTAAATTGCACCTTATAACCATATGAAACTAGTTTATTTATTGAAAGGAGATTTTTCTTGATCTTGGATACATGCAAAACATCCTTCAATTTGATCTTCTTAGTTTGTCTTTTCACAAAAATTATTACTACAATAGAATCCATTCTGATGGCTTATACCAAACCATTGTCTCCCATAAAGATATTTATTGCTAAAATATCTTCATAAATGTCAAATGAACATTTGCATGGATTCATATGCTTAGTAGTACCTAAATTAACAATCCACTTAGATATAGCAACCATGGAAGTGCCTTCACTTGCTATGAATGCAAAATCATTTCCTCCAAATTACTCAAATACATTGTTGGTACTTTTTTTTCTTCTTTCTTTGCATTGTAACAATTTCATACAAAATGACCTTGTTTTCTACAAATGAGTAAATTCTCACATTATTACGTTGAATAGAATAGCTTTCCTTACCTTGTCTTAAAAAGAAAGCCAAATCTTTATTTTAAGGCTCTTTTTCTTTCTTCTTGATTACTTCATAAGCAAGTCTTACCATCACACAGTCGATTATAAATTTTTTTAATTTAATGGACTCCAATGCCACAATGAAGTAGTTGTAAGTCTTAAGAAGGTTCATAAGCAAGATCATGGCAATATCACTCTCTTTTAAAGGCTTATTAATAATTTCTAGTTAGTTTGTAAGAGCCTTTACCTTGTTGACATGAATCATGAGGTCTTTATCTACTTCTATCTTACAAAGAAGAATTTCTTCCTTATGAAGATGATATTGGATAAGTTCTTGCTCTCATATATATTGCAAAGAGTCTTTTATTCTTCCATTGGATTTTTACAAGAAATAATGTGAGAAAAATTGGCTTCATCTAAATTAGCAGCAATTATGCCAAAAGCCTTCTTTTTATGTCTTTTAAAGTCCTTCTTCTTATCATCTGCATATATTCTTGGAGGCTCTTTACTTTCATCTATAATGTTTCAAAGATCTAAAGATGTTCATAAAAGCTCTATTTTGACCTTCTAATGGTAAAAATTTCCCCTTCTAAACATCTCAATCACTCTCAAACCTTAATTCTTATTAGAAGCCATATCTAAGAAGAGATCTATTAAAAAATATCAAAAAAAAAAAGACTTTATGTGCTCAAAATTACCAAAATAATTTTACACTAACAGAATCTCAGAATGCCCTCTTGTGAAAAATTGAATGCTTCTTCACTCAAAACACTTTCAATTTAAGTTTTCAAGCTTCTAATAAGTATGTACATTCTAATGAATCTTATTATTAAGATCTTTTGCTCTTTCAAACAAACTATTTTACAATACATATAAGATAAATGAAACAACTTCAATAATATAAAAAGACACTATCAAGGTCTTTCTATAAGATCTTAAACTCAAAATCCTACGAGTTAAGAATCCACAAAGCAATGTTAGAGATCTATAAGGTCAAAATCAGCACCTCTTCATGCCAATTCATAAGTTTAGATCTTACAAATCCTAATATCAGCAAACACCATAAGATCTATTCTACGAAAATAAAACTATTAAAGAATGATATCAACTTATTTGAATGGTAGAACAAAGTGTGTTATTGAAGAAATACAAAAAAGAAGATACAAGTAAGTAGAAA